GTTCTAGGTCTTCTGCCTTTCTTTCGTACTACCTGGCTACTTATGTTTTTGGTGATCATTCTGGGACGCTCGTAAGTTATGTTGGGGACCACGAGCGCCAGGCGAGGCCGTGTGGGCGTTGTGCTGCTGGTGGTGGTTCCCTCCAGGGGGGACCTGCTTTTATATTAGAGACGTTACTTCTAGTGTCTGAGGTTGTCAGATTCATCCCGAAATTGTATTCAGTTAAATTTGTAATTCCTTGTATCTTCGGAATATATAACTACTTTCCAAAAGGTTCTTCTTTAAAGAAATTTAATTTCTTAAATGAGTATGGGTAATCCTAAATGGTTATGATTATTCTTCTGCAAAATATTTTGTGGAAAAAAACACTAAAAACGCAATAAGACCTTTTCAAATACTATTTTAAGTATCTTTAGACAAGTAATTCTTGAAGTGACTTAGCCCTTGTATTTCTCTTTTGTCCCCTCCTTGTTACCTGTCTCATGGTTTGAAATCAGGGTGTGGCAAGTTAGCATATCTGCTATATTATGGGTGAGATCTCCTCTTGACCCAGCCGTCTGCATAATTATCAATTTATTGCTAGCACCTGTGACCATGTACTATGAAAACCCTGTAATTTTAGAGTAGCACTGTCCAGTGGAAGTACAATGTGAGCCTTCTCTAACCACATTAAATAAGTAAAAAGAAACAAGTGAAACTATATTTAATCAGGTGTTTTATTTAACCCAGTATATCCCGAATGTTGTCAGCTCAACATGTAGTCCATATAAAAGTTACCGATGAGGTATTTTACATTGTGTTTTCTGTACTGAGTCTTTGAGAGAGATCTGGGTGCGTTTTACATTTACTGCACATTTCAGTGTTCATTAGCCACATGTGGCTACAACATTTACAGTACAGTTTAGAAAATAAACACCTGTTGTGGTCGAGTCCATCCCGACTCATAGCGACCCTATAGGACACGGTAGAACTGCCCCATAGGGTTTCCAAGGAGCGGCTGGTGAATTCGAACTGCCAGCCTTTTGGTTACCAGCCGAATTCTTAACCACTGCCCCACCAGGGACCGGCAGTACAGCTTAGGGTGTCTAGTATCATCTCTTGGTACCGACGTCTGAAAAGCTGTTTCTTTACGTTCCTATAGTTGGCTTGTGTCAGTACTTAAATAGCTTATATTTACATTATTTTAGGGACTCATGTGACACATTATATGTAGCAGCTAAAAAAGTTGCAACTTCTGGACCCCATTTTTCTTTAATTGGAAAATGAATAGAATTACCATCAAGTTAACTTTAATAGCGTATGTATGTGTACCGTAGAAGCTAATAGGATTATTTTAATTACTCTTCTTTAAGTTCAGTCTTAGGCTGGATTGGTTTGTGCATTATTATTTAGAAATAAGATAAGTGATTTCATATTTCTGAAATTACTAAATTTTGTTTTCTGTAACTGTTTTAACATAGGCTGCGGCATTCTTATTCTTGTTCAGATGAAGTGGGGCAGGTAGGGAGAGCACTTGTCAACCAACGTCAAGGAACTGTTGTCACATGGCAAGTTAGCGTTTGCCTGGGCTGCCTGCCCACAGCTGATCCCGGGCTCCGTCAGTGGCTCCCAGCATCAGTGGCAGTCAGCAGGGATGAAGCAGAGCTTATTCGTCCTGCTTTCTACCCGGTCAGGGTGGTCATCCCCAGCCAGGCCTGCCGAGGCCAGATGGAGACCTTTGCTTACCTGGTAGTAGGGCAGAGAATGTGATGCTTGATGCTAGAAATTCTTTAGAATCCTTCATCTCCAGCTTTCCATCTGTAATTTTGTTTTTGTAAAAGGATTGACATTAGAGCTATAGTTTTTAATACAACAGTTCTGTCTACAATCTGCATGGCCCATGTGTAAGTGTGAGCTGCCTGTGAAGTACAGGCGGGATTCAAATCAGCACAGAGGCGGGAGGGAGCCCGTGAAGGCAAGAAGGGCGTCCCAGAGAGCCAGGCAGTCTGTGGGGAGCTGATAGGCTGCGCGAGTTCCCGGAAATGGAGACCATGGAGACCGGGCTGTCAGCTGACAGAGGATCTTCACCAGGTGGCAGTGCCTGGCGAGGACTGCGTTCTGAAGGTCCGGGTGCCAGCCAAAGCGTGGAGCCCGGTTAGAAGATTCTAGATCTAGACTCTTTACTTCTGCATCATGTCTGTCTGTCTTTTTCTGAGAATAGTTTTTTAAAACAGCCTGTTTTGTGATGTATTGTGGATGACTTTTAATTAAAGTCTGTTTTTAGGGAATACCTTAAATAGCTGTTTTAGACTCCAGTGGTTCTTTTGAGTTGAGGTCTCTAATAATCATGAACTTCCTGAGGTGAAGACCTCTTTTTGCGATGAGAGATGTATCATAGATTCGAGTTATTTGGAATTAAAGAAGTGAGTCGATAGATTCCTATCAGGGAAGACAACAACGTCTGTTAGTCCTTAAGTGCTGTGCTTTCTCATCATCTGTCACTGGACGGCTGTGCGCCACTTCCTAAGGTGGCACATCTGGTGCCAGAGGCTGAAAGGCTTAGAGTTTCAGCTTTTTATTAGGGAGTGGGGTAAACGGTGATTTTTGTTGTCGTTGTTGGAAAGTAAGTATGTAACTTTGGGTAGATTTGAAGTGAATTGTGCCATAATAAGATTTTCTTTAAGTGACTAAAGAAAGTTTAAAAAGCAAGTACAGTAAAATCTGCTTGAGCCAGAACCTGTGTAAGGGGGAAACCTGTCAAAGAAAGAAACTTTACTGGGTGTTTATGATGCAGGATTCTGTAACAGAGAGCAATATAGAAGACTGCACCCTGTCAAAGGCGGAAGACGTGAGAGAAGAACAAGGCTCTCACAGGCTTCACTGTCGTAATGAAACATTTCTGGCACAAGACCAGCAGTACCAGATGGTACGTGCAGTGTGCGTGTACCCAGATAATACACTTGCTTTGTGGTAGCGCAGCTTTGAGTGCATGTTGCTGACTGTCCTCAGTCCATGCAGAGTGACACCTCCACTCAACAACGTGCTGACGGTTCCTGAAGAAAGCCACTTGAAAAAAGGCACAGCCCAGATGTCCCCGCATTTGACCAGCTCCATCCTAGTTTTGTGGAAGGGCTCAGGTGTTTCCAGAGTAAGCCACATGCCACATGGTACTTGATCAGTTTTCTAAGGTTTCAAGACACTGACAGTAAGATGAAGGATAACAGCGTGGAAGAATTAAGTCCTGATTACTGTATGCACGCATTTTCGACAGTAGGGGGAAACCTTTTATAAATAAGGCCCAGACAAAGTACAGGCAAACAAGCAGCTTTGTACAAGAGATTTAACACATCCTATACACTGTCTTCACTGTGCCGTTGTCATCTGCCCAAATGCTACCTGGTTCACTTGGCGTCCCCGTCAATGTCTGCCCCCCAGCCACCTCGAAACCACTCTTGTCTGCTCGCGCGGCTCTGGTGGGGGCCGAGGCGCTGCTGCATGCATGCGGTGACACATCTTTCTCTTACTGTTTCCTTTTCAGTGTTTGACACAAGCAGGTTTGTTTTTACTGACTTGTTTTAAAAACTGTATGCATGAGAAGAGTGAGTAAATACTGGAATGTGAAAATACAATGGTAAATTGCGTTTTGTATTAAGATGATTAATAGCATATATTATTAAAAGTGGTTTTCACTTCACTGTTTAGTTCACTATTTAGCACACTCTTAAACTGCTTCCAGAGTCCAAGTCTGTTTTAGTCTTCTCATCAAGCAGTTGTTCAAACAGAGCAAGGGGATACTGTGTGGTTTAAAGTCAGGAGAGGTGTGGGTCAGGGCTGTATCCTTTCAGCATACCTATTCAATGTGTATGTTGAACAAATAATCCGAGAAGCTGGACTATATGAAGAAGAACGGGGCACCAGGACTGGAGGAAGACTCATTAACAACCTGCGTTATGCAGATGACACAACCTTGCTTGCTGAAAGTGAGGAGGACTTGGAAGCACTTACTGATGAAGATCAAAGACCACAGCCTTCAGCGTGGATTACACCTCAACATAAGGAAAACAAAAATCCTCACAACTGGCCCAATAAGCAACATCATGATAAAGGGAGAAAAGAGTGAAGTTGTCAAGGATTTCATTCTTCATAGATCAGTAATCAGTGCCCGTGGCAGCAGCAGTCAGGAAATCAAACGATGTATTGCATTGGGCACATCTGCTGCAAAAGACCTCTTTGGAATGTTCAAAAGCAGAGATGTCACTTTGAGGACTAAGATGTGGCAGACCCAGGCCATTGTATTTTCAGTCGCCTCATATGCATGTGAAAGCTGGACAGTGAATAAGGAAGGTGGAAGAATTGGCGCATTCTAATTGTGGTGTTGGCAAAGAATATTAAATATACCATGGACTGCCAGAAGAACAAACAAATCTGTCTTGGAAGAAGTACAGCCAGAGTGCTCCTTAGAAGCAAGGATGGCAAAACCAGCTCACTTCCTTTGGACGTCATCAGGACAGACCATTCACTGGAGAAAGATATCATACTTACTAGTAAAGTGAACGGTCAGCAAAAAAGCGAGAGACCTTCAACGAGATTGATCGACACAATGGCTGCAACAGTAGGCTCGAATATACTTGGTATTGGGAGGATGGGGTAGGACCGAGCAGGCAGCGTTTTGTTCTGTGGTGCGGAGGGTCGCTATGAGGTGGAGCCCACTCAACAGCACCTAACAACAGCTGATTAATTAATAACTGATCTTTTTTCAGGAGTATATTTCTTTTTAATTTAAAAACAAAACAGTAGCATTTCCTGTTAGTTTCTTAATTTTACCAAATACAGTTAATGCTGTGAATACAGTTTTGATGTATTAGCATAGTTTTTATCGTTCTAATTTGCCTGCCGAAAGGAGAACCAGGGTTTGTTACAGCTGTCCACGTGCGTGTGGTGGTTCTGTTCAGTGCTGCTTTACTGAGTATCGCATTTCCTGCTGCACCTTTTTCAGTGCGGTGTTTCTTCTTTTTGTTCAGGGTGCGGGTCAGGATAAACTCGGGATCTATGTCAAGTCTGTTGTCAAAGGAGGTGCTGCAGATGTGGTTAGTATAGATTTTAAAATGTAAATTTCCAGCATCTTACATTTAACCAGGGGGGTGAGATAATCCACTGATATGTTTAGTCATGAAACACTATATAACGCTTGTTTGAAGAGAACAGTAAAAGAACAAGTATGATATGTACTGACTACCTTTTCTTGTTCCTCCCCGTCTCCGCTGCTGTTCCCATATCCTAACTACACCGCACACGCGCACACTCACTGTGCCATGCACACGCGCACACGCTCGCCTCTGGGTGTGAACAGGACGGCCGGCTGGCTGCAGGGGACCAGCTCCTCAGTGTGGACGGGCGGAGTCTGGTAGGACTGTCTCAGGAGAGGTATGACTTGTTTGTTTGAAGATCAGCACTCGAATTTTTAGGTGATACTTAACATTAAATCTTGGAATTGGAAGATGAAAAATAATGCTCAAAAGTCGTATTCTTTCTTTTCACCTTGTAAAGTGCAGAACTCTTAGCGTATGTGACATTTCATTTTTTAGCAAATTATAAGTACATATTTCAGTCTGGAACAGTTTCTTTGAAACTAAAAAGAAAAAAAACACTCTTTGTACTTTTTCCAGTTTCTGAATGTCATCTTATTATTCTTAATACAATAACAGAAGATATGTTTGCATGTTTTCGTAGTTAAGTTACCTGCTGCCCACTTGCTCCTTTGAAAATTATCTGAAAGTCAGAGTACCACCCAGAATAGCAGATGAAGCTGTCAGATAGGGCTGTGGTCACAGGCCACTGTGGTGACAGGAGACGCTGCGTGTCACCTTTCTGACATTTATGATGGTTCTCTTTCTAGGGCAGCAGAACTCATGACAAGAACGAGCTCTGTGGTAACACTGGAAGTCGCAAAACAAGGAGCGATTTACCACGGCCTCGCTACGCTGCTCAACCAGCCATCTCCGATGATGCAGAGAAGTAAGGGTTCCTTGTACTGTGACACCCGACTTTGGTGGAACACCTCTCGTAAGCCAGGCATTTCACAGGCAGGGCCTCTTCTAGTGTTTGCAGAAACCTATGGGTCCGTATTATTATTATTCCAATTTTAAAGATGAGGAAGTTGCCAAGGAGAGCAATTGCATGCAGTGCCCACGATACTAGCTGTCAGTTGCTAGAAGCAGGATTCAAATGTGGGCCATCTGACCTGGGGGCCCCTGCCTCAGAGCCGTCTAACCTGCCCTCTGTATGAGCAGCTTGTTGCTGGGGAGCTTCCATATGCCTGGCGTACAGTAGACATTCAGCAAATGGTGGGTGAGTCTGTGTGTGAATGAATTTCCAACTTTGATAGGCAGACAGCTCATAATATCTGTAAAGAATGCGTAGGATTCTTTACTGAATGACTGTGCGTGCACGTGTGGAAGTCGTTACTGTAGGCTGCGTTTGCTAAGATGGGACATGAGCATCCAGTCTTATGTAATTAACTCAAAGCAGCAAACTCAGTTACTTGAATAAAGTGATTTGCTTATGGGAACCGTGGTTTTGAAACTACATCAAAAATCTCAGAATAAAATCAATATAAATGTAGGGCTTTTTAAAGAATTAGTTAGAAAACCATGACGACTCTCATTATCTCTGAAATCATTAAATACCTGCTGGATCAGTCTTCATGATACCCTTTGCTAAGTGTGTGCGTAGCCCTCTAGGTAGGGCCTTTATTGTAGCCCTCGTCCCCGGAAGTCAGAATTCTGGGGAGTCAGAGCCCCAGATGCAGGCCACCTCCCAATGGTAACTAACAGAGAGGCATCTGAGCACCTGAACCTCATGCTTCTTAGGAAAAAAAAAAAGGAAGCTTGACAGAGCCGTGTCTCATGTGATGCACGCGCTTCATGGCTCGCGTAGCAAACTTTACTATCTTGGTTGCTGATTTCTTAGTCTAATGTCGTTTAGAAGCTAACTAGGTGAAGAGTTGGAAATCAAAGAGGGAAGCTGTTAAAGCAGATCGTAAATAGCCAGAAGACAGGAAACCAATAAATGGAGAGCTGGGTGATCGTGGGGTGGGACCCAGAGGGATGGAAAATTAACCACTTGTTTAAGATGTGCGGGAAGTATATCTATTAGTAAAAAAAAACTAAGTTACATCAGAAGTAGTTTTAATACTTAGAAGAGATAAGTTTCAGTTTATGAGAAATAACCTTTGAAAATATATTTTTAAAAAATGCGTTTATTTGAAAGTGTTGAGACGATTCTATGGAAAGATTTTACCATTAAATAAAAACGACTTATTTCTTAGACTAAAAAGAAGTTCTTAGAGAATTTTACACATTGTAGATTCCTGTGTCTTTCCAAGCTAAACAGGGTGTTTCAAATAAGACAAACTCTTAACAAATGAAGACATCCTGACTGTGCTCTGATTTCAGTTTCAGATCGCCGTGGCTCAGGGAAACCCCGACCAAAGAGTGAGGGTTTTGAGCTCTATGGTAACTCAGCTCAGAACGGGTCCCCCGAGAGCCCCCCGCTGCCCTGGGCAGAGTACAGCGAACCAAAGAAACTGCCGGGCGACGACAGGCTGATGAAGAATCGGGCTGATCACCGCTCCAGTCCCAACGTGGCAAGTAAGACGAGTCGCCGTCTGTCTTCTGGTCTTTAAATTTTCTCCAGTTACGTCCCAGCGCCTGCACGGGCCCCGGTCGGAGTGAGGCTGGGCACTGTGGGGCGTCGGAACCAAGCCGGACAGCCTTGTGATTTGATGCTAGCTCTAGGCAGACCCATTGATTGTGCCTGCAGCAGTGGTAGCAACCTTACCAGCAGGAGGATAAATGGCTTTGTACATTTTTATGTAATTGTTAAAAAAAAAAAAAAAAAAAAGGAAGACGTAGAAGAATATGCAGCAGAGACTGATGGTTCCCGCAGCCGCTGTTTGCCAGCCGGCCCTGTGCGAACCTCGAGTGCAGGCGTGGCTCTCGCTCGGGCTGGGATCCCGAGGATTAGTGCAGACGTGGGGAGGCCTGATGCCTCGCCTCCGTGTTTCTCTCTGTTAGACACCTCGCTCACAATAGGAGGACGAGTGAGACGTGATTATCACCTGTAAAAAGCATTGTTAATGTTCCATTTGTTTGTCTGCTTAACATTAAACTTTCTTTTCCTGACTGTTTCCAACAGACCAGCCCCCTAGTCCTGGAGGGAAACACACATACGCCACCGGAACGACAGCCAAGATAACGTCTGTTTCTACTGGAAACCTCTGCACTGAGGTCTGAAGAGATAATCAGAAAGCTTCCTACTGCACTGAAATACATAGGCTTCCTCCAGGATGGCTAGGTTACCCAGAAAATGTTCGCTATACAGATTAGCTGGAACATGGTTGCCAAATTTGCAGTACTTAATCCTTTGATTTTGGGCACAGTGATTAAGCGCTCAGCTGCTAACCAAAAGGTTGGTGGTTCAAACCCACCAGCGGCTCCACGGCAGAAAAATGTGTTGGTCGGCTTCCGTAAAGATTACAGCCTTGGAAACCCTATGGGACAGTTCTACTCTGTCCTGTAGGGTCGCTGTGGGTCGGAATCGACTTGATGGCAATGGTTTTTTTTTTTTTTCCCCCGGTAGTCAAATAAATTAGTTTTAAATTAGTAAGTCTTGGCAGAATGAAATGTTTGGTCATTATTCTCTGAATGGAATCAAACACTAATTTTTAACACATTTTTTAAAGGTATATATTACTTTTTATTTTGAAGCAGACAATTGGAAATTCAGTGAGCCCGTTGTACGGATCGTGAGAGCCAGCTCTCCTTTGTTCTTCCCTTTCCCAGGAGCAGACCCCTCCGCCCAGGCCTGAAGCATACCCCATTCCCACGCAGACATACCCCAGAGAGTATTTTACCTTCCCCGCTTCCAAGTCGCAGGACCGGATGGTTCCTCCACAGAGCCAGTGGCCAAGTTATGAGGATAAGCCGCACGTGCACACAGACAGTGACCATTCCAGTGTTGTGATCCAGGTGAGAAACTTTTCTCAGCCCTGAAGGAGTGCGATGGCCCCGTCTGACGGATGGACGATCTCTGAGACACAGTTGACATTTTCTGTAGAGCACGGTTGCTGTTGGCGTCTCATGTTTTCTTTCATGGTTTTGTGGCTGAGTCTGAGGACAGTGGGGCAGGATAGAGTACTTAACATGAAGAGGGGTTCTTGGTTGTCTTCGTGTTTGCTGCTGGAATGGCAGTGTCTTAGTCATCTAGCGCTGCTCGAACAGAAATACCATGAGTGGATGGTTTTAACAAAGAGAAGTTTATTCTCTCACAGTCTAGTAGGCTACAAGTCCAAATTCAGGGCATCAGCTCCAGGAAAAAGCTTTCTCTCTCTGTCATCTCTGGAGGAATGTCCTTGTGATGCATCATTCTTCCCTTGGTCTGGGAGCATCTCAGCACAGGAACCTCAGGTCGAAAGGACGCGCTCCACTCCCAGCACTGCTTTCTTGGTGGTATGAGGTTCCCATGTGTCTCTGCTCGCTTCTCTGTTTTATGTCTCAAAAGAGATTGCATTAAGACACTGTCTAATCTTGTCCACCTCATCAGTATAACTTCATCACAGTGATAGAATTTACAACACATAAGGAGATCACATATAACCTCATCATAGTGATAGAGTTTACAACACATAAGGAAATCACATCAGATTACACAATCATACAACACTGGGAATCATGACCCAGCCAAGCTGACAGATATTTTTGGGAGACACAGCTCAATCCATGACACTTCACCCTTAGGCTCCCAAAAAATCACGTCCTTGCAACATGCAAAACATGCTTATCTCATCATATCACAGCAAAAGTCTTAACTCCAAGTCCAAAATCCAAAAATTCCTTTTCATCTGTGAAATCTAGAATACAAGTTACCTGCTTCCAAAGGTACAATGGCAGAACAAGCACAAGCTAGACATTTCCATTACAAATAGGAAAAATTGCAAGGAAAGAAGGAATAACAGGCACCAAGCAAGTTAGCAGAACACATTACATTAGCCCTCAGGGCTTGAAAATAATCCTCTGTTTTCTGAGACCATTTACACAATAGCCCTGCCCTCCAGACTCCAGGTGTTGGCCACAGTCTCCGGATTCTGAGTGGAGACCCCTCGGCCCTGGACTTCAGCTCTGCCTTCCAGGCCCACTGGGACAGCAACTCTGCTCCCTCAGCTTCAGGCACACCATTCTCCTAGTCCATCACAGTGACAGCTCCACCCTTAGAAACACCAGAGGCCGTGGCTCCACCCTTTGAAATCCCAGAGGTCATGGCCATACCTTTTGAGACTGAGGCAACTCGGCTTCTTGTGTTCCTTGTCTCTTCAGCTTCTGCTTCTTGTGGCCTCTCGGCCCTCAGGCCTCACGCCCACATCTGCCTTGCTGGGGCAGGTGTTCCAAAGCTCTGTAGCTCCACCAGTGATAAGTGCCTGGAGGCAGCCCACTCCATCAGGAAGCCTCCTGCACACAGGCACTTAGCTCCCTCGCACTGTGGGTCAGCAAGCCTAGCTCCACCAGTAAGTGCCTGGAGGCACCCCACTCCGCCAGGAAGCCTCTGGCGCACAGGCATTCGGCTCTCTTGCTCTGTGGGTCGGCTCCAGCACCATCCCGCGCTGGTCTCCTGGTTCTGCTGCTGCTGGTCCTCTGTCACTGCCGCACCTCTATCTGTTGACAGTTTTAAAACCGCTTCCACATTTTAGGTATCTGTTAGAGCAGAACCCCACTCCCAGTACCAAATGTATTAGGCTGGGTTCTCTAGAGAAGCAAAACCAGTAAAGTGTATAAATACGTATGTATAGAGGGATTTATATCAAGGAAACAGCTTATGCGATTGTAGAGGCTAGAACGTCCCAAGTCTGTGGATCAGGGTGGAGGCCTCTCCCAAGTCACGCAGCCGCAGAAGCTGGCAAGCCCAAGGTCAGCAGGTCAGAGAGCAGAGCTCCTGTTCACAGGCTGTGCAGATCGATGAATCCCAGGTTTGGCAGATAAGCTGACAGCTCAAGTCCCAAGAACTGGAGATGAGGTGACAGGAGGCAGCCGCAGAATCCAGAGAGAGCAAAAAGCCAGAATGTCTGCTTATATTCAGATGCGGGCCATGCCCCCAGGGAGACTCCCTTTCATCTGATTGGCTACTCAGAGTAAACTCAATCATGGGAGTGATTACATTAAAACACTGAGAATCATGGCCCAGCTAAGTTGACGTACAGTCTTAACCATCACAGGCAGTCACAGAAAGCCTTAACTGCTGTGTGTAAGGCAAGGTTCACGGATTCTGGGAGTGCGGAGTGGAACCCGGCTGTACATCTCCTCGTTTATGTCAGAAATCAGAAGCTACCTGGCCCTGCCCTTGAAGCTGATGGTGAGGAGGGTCAGACAGACAGGCTCACATACGGCTGTCACCCCAGCCTAGGTGTGGCAGGACCCTGGGCCCTGGACCATGGAGGGAGCAGTTGTGAACGTGTGTGCTTGGAGAACAGGCGTGTCCCTCTGGGCAGACACAGGGTAGAGGCGATGGGGTGGCCATAGTCAAGGCTGTTGAGGTGGGACAGATCCAGGTCGTGGGTGTAACACAGATACCAGTCTTCAAGGAAGGACTGTGGCGTCAGAAAGGTGCTGCATCAGAGAGGAACTGCAGGGTGTGTAGTCTGAAGGCCGGGCTCCGAAATTTTATACTTTAGAAGTGTCTGTACTACGGATACCAGGACATTTCATGGTAACTTTTATTTGGTCTGTAGACAGCGTACCCAGTAATCAGGAATTTCTGTATTTCTTTGTATAAAGTAAAGCTGTAGGAAAATGCTTGGAGTAAGTCTTCCGTTTTTTTGGTCAGCTGCTTGTGTTTTTAGGGTGATTTTTTCTCTATTTTGTTGGTTTATTTTCTGGATTTACATCTTCATGTACTACTTACAGGACAGGAGAAAGCATGTTTGAGTCATAATGCATCACTGGCCAGGTGAATACTTTTTGGGTTGCCATTTTCAGACTGGAGATGAGCCCTTTGACAAAAGTGTCCCCCGACCTGCCTGTGTCTGTCGCACAGAGCTTTGTAGATGTCCAACAGGTTGACACCACTGTGTCTCATACCTGCTAAGATGAGAGCAGAAGTATCTGGCTATATTTGCCCTGTCCTTGCTCTGGTGTGCATAGTCAGACCAAACGTTTTCCAGGCCGGTCCTAAGCTTGTGGAATTTAGGAAACGTTGCACTGATCAGACGGTTAAAATCTAATAGTTACTCTTGATAGTGGTTAGAACTTGGCCTCAGAGATGTCGTCACCATTGCTCCTCACATGATTAAACATCCCCATTCACCCCACCACCATGACACACACCCCCACACACACACACGCCATGCTCTCAGAGTCAGCAGTGTGTGACTGGTCCCATACAGAGACGTGTGCAAGCAGCAGTGGAAGGGGAGGGGCACAGTCGAGGAAAGGCCTGGTTTTTTCCATGTATTTTATTTTTTTGGCAATGATGTAGAGAAAAGGTACAGCTTCTCCTGCTTTTCACAGATAAAGAAACTCACTGAGAAAGCACTGTTGTTCCACGCAGCCAGCGAGCTGCAGGGCTAGACTTCAGCCCCGTTCTGTGTGCTGTTCCACGCAGCTAGCGAGCTGCAGGGGTAGACCACAACCCCTTTCTGTGTGCTGTTCCACACAGCCAGCGAGCTGCAGGGCTAGACTTCAGCCCCTGTTCTGCGCACTCAGTTGTCTTAGTAGTTTTCCTCCCTGAACGTAAAATGTTTATGAATGTTTACTAATGTCCTCAGATAAGTGGCTGAAGTGTAACAGTTTTTCTTCTGTTTTTCAGCGTGTTACCCGTTCCCAAGAAGAGCTGCGAGACGACCAAGAGTACCAGCTTGAGCGGCATCGAACAGCGCCAGCTGAGGATCGAAAGTCGGGCAGTGATCTGTGGATAAACCAGAGCTCCTCGGTGGAGTCCAGCACATCAAGCCAAGAGCACCTGAACCATTCCTCTAAATCCATCACTCCTGCGTCCACTTTAACCAAAAGTGGCCCTGGCCGTTGGAAAACGCCAGCTGCCGTCCAGCCAACCCCAGTGGCCATCTCCCAGCCCATCCGCACAGACCTGCCTCCGCCGCCCCCTCCTCCCCCAGCGCACTATGCCAGTGACTTTGATGGGATGCCAATGGACTTGCCTCTGCCGCCGCCCCCCTCTGTTGGCCAGATGGGCACCCCATCTGCCCAGGCGGCCGCTGCAGAGCGGAAGAAGAGAGAAGAGCAGCAGCGGTGGTATGAGAAGGAAAAGGCCCGCTTGGAAGAGGAGCGTGAGAGGAAGCGGAGGGAGCAGGAACGGAAGCTGGGCCAGATGCGCGCGCAGTCCCTGAACCCTGCGCAATTCTCCCCCGTGACCGTGCAGCCGATGAAGCCCGAGAAGCCCTCCACCCTGCAGAGGCCCCAGGAGACTGTCATCCGAGAGCTGCAGCCACAGCAGCAGCCGCGTACCATCGAGCGGCGGGACCTGCAGTACATCACCATCAGCAAGGAGGAGCTGTCGTCCAGTGACAGCCTGTCCCCAGATCCATGGAAGCGGGATGCTAAAGAGAAGCTGGAGAAGCAGCAGCAGATGCACATCGTGGACATGCTGAGCCGAGAGATCCAGGAGCTGCAGGGCAAGCCCGACCGTACCGCCGAGGAGAACGACCGTCTCCGCAAGCTCATGCTGGAGTGGCAGTTCCAGAAGCGGCTACAGGAGTCCAAGCAGAAGGACGAGGATGACGAGGACGAGGAGGATGACGACGTGGACGCCTTGCTGGTCATGCAGCGGCTGGAGGCCGAGAGGAGAGCCAGGGTAAAGGGGTCTCCGTGGTCGGGCTCCCGGGCCCCCATCGTAGCTCCCCTGCTGCTGGAGAGGCCTGAGCTGTGGTCTCGAGGTGGGGCTTTCCTGACACTAGGGCTTGGCTAGTGCCCGCAGGAGTGAGCCAGGGCTGTGAGGCTGAGAACTGAAGCGGAACGTGAAATTGTTTTAATTAGCAAATGCATAGTTATCCTTTTTAATACTTGAGTTGAAACAACAAGAGTTTACTAAAGACTTGTTATGATCTTGATGAGGGGTCGGCAGGTGTTTTCTGAACAGGCAAGACAGTAAACATCTTAGGCTTTGTGGGCCACACAGCCTCTGGCTACCACTCAGCTCTGCCATTACAGAGCAATAGCAGCCATAGCCCGTTTGTCAGCAGACTGATGTGGCTGTGTTCCAATAAAACTTTATTTACAAAAACAAGAGGCGGGCCATCCACTGGCCCCAGATCTCGATCATCAGCACGTCATGGTAGTTAACAAAGGAAACTGCCTAGAAAATCAAATTTAAGTTTATATATCATTACCAGAAGTAGAATTTTCATAGTAGTTATACTGGTGATGAAGCAAGTGGATTTATTCAGTTAATAACAACTCTACAGTATTCACCCCCTTATCTGCGAGGGATACATTCCAAGACCCCCCGTGGATGCCTGAAACCTTGGCTACTACCGAACCCTATATATACTGTGTTTTGTCCTATACATACATACCTATGATAAAGTTTAACTTAAAAAGCAGGCATAGTAAGAGATTAACAACAGTAACTAATAATAAAATGGAACAATTATAGCAGTATACTGTAATAAAAATGATGTGAATGATGGAGTAGGGTGGCATGAGATTTCATCATGCGATGTACTCATTTTACATTTTCAAGCCGAGGTTGACCGAGCGTAACTGAAACCACAGAAAGGGAAGCCACAGATAAGAGGGGACTGCTGTACTTCAGTTTAGTGTAAAGATACTGAGAACTTGTGATTTTATTCATATTTCTTCCATATTATAAAAATTAATAACTACTTTTATTTTTCTTTCAAATAAAGGAACAAAAGTAAAATTTAAATAGTTTAATGCTATAGATTGTCAAAATGCGAAATTTAAGAGGAAAGCAAGATTCTTTGTTACCTCCCAAGAGAGTTGTTGGCAGAGATGTCAGCAGTGGTGAGCTTTTACAGGCACCAGCAGCTCTCCCCGTAGCTGGAGGATGGTGCTGCCCACCAGTTCCTGCTTATCCGTTCTAGTGAGCTTTTAAAAAATTACACAGTGCAGTATTCTGAGGAAAGACAGCCAAGAGCATCTTCTTTCTATCTTTTGGATTTTTTTTTTCCTCATTCCAGTTATTATTCAATGCTGTCTACTAAAAGGTCTAAGGCAACAACAACTGTCACGAGGAACAGTGTGGGCTTGCTGTCCCGACGAGATGGAGCCTTAGCTAGCCAGGCACAGTGTGTGGCACCCAGCTGTGCGACTTCTTCTCAGTGCAGCCGGTGGACTGTTCCCTGCAGAGACACACACATAGTTCTCACTTACAGGCACTCTCAGTCCATGTGTGTGTCATTTTCCCAGAAGTCAGCTAGAGTCCCTCTTGAGACAGTTTCTTAAATGAAGGCCTAAACGTTAACTATTACATTGTATTATTAGTGTTTTCCAGCTCACTAGCAGCGACTTCCCTAAGAATGACTAAATTTTCCACAAGTGTTATTTTGTTTGCAAGAGCAGCTATTTCATTAGTTTCTGCTCTACTGTAAGAATTCCTTCAACAGCTCTCACTTTGTGTGGCCCCCTGCTGCTCTTGCCAGTTACGTAAATTGTCATTTCTGTGCTTGCTGTTGTCATGTGTGATTCCCTCCTCTCTGGCCAGGGTCACTGTAGGAACATCACATTAAAAAGGTAGCTGCGCTGATGGCCTTGCCTCTCCCACCCCCAAATACAAGAGAAAGTCAGGCTTACCTTTCCTCCATCCACACTCTGAATGTACAGCTGTTGATGGCAAGTGAGAACACTGTCTCGTATTGTTTTAACTGTATTCCAACAGTGGTGAGAAGCTAGTAACTACACTGTAATACTTCTATAATTCTTCTTTTTGTGAAGATGAAATTTGTATTGAAGGTCTGTCAGAATTTTTCCAAATGGTTTAAACACTGAAAATTTCACAGCCTCTCAGTATGAATTATGATGTTTGGAAAGCTGCTTAAGATAATTTATTTTAAAGTACTTAGTGTATTTATTATTACTCATAGTAAGATTAATATTAGTGTAAATAAGAGAGCTGAGGGAAATTTTGTTTTTATAGTTTCTGTGTATCTTAATGATGAAACTCAGCTATTTGATACCAGATGGACATTTTTCTATTTCTGATTACTGCCAATTAGTTGGTAGTTCTTTACTTTTCTCATTGGGTTGCCTGTCAAAAACAGGTGAAGTAAGATAGCAACAAAAGCCAATGGCGGAATACAGGGCTGAACTTAACTTTTTTTTCACACTTCATCTTTTCTTTTTTTTCCTTCTCTGTTACCTGCAGCAGACTGCTGTGCCAGCAATCTCTGTTCTAGATTTGGTATGTTCTTGTTTCTTTGCCTTTGGTACTTTTTTCCTGTCTTGGTTTCTTTTGCTCTCAGTGGTGGTTGTATGTTCTCAGTAGCCCCGGCTCCCCGTAGGGGTGGCCAGCCCCGGTGCGGAGTTCAGTGCCTCTAGAAGCATGCCTTTGAATGTCGCTGGGTCTCCTCACTGCTTCCCTCCGTAACTTTAAGTGTTACTGTTTGTTTATGGTTTTCCCCTGTTCTTAGTTTTAGTCCTAAAACCGATTCTGTGTTTCCTTATGTAGTCATAATACCTGAGCAAATGAAAGGAATTTTGCAGTAAGTAATGTTTCATTCTTGTTACCTTAGAACTAGGTTTTAAATGTTAAATTGTTAGAAACTCAATTGAAATGGGGTTGACACGGTTTGCCACTTATGATGTAACTGACTATTGATAGATTTTTGGTACGCATTTATTCTGTTTTTCTTTCTTTCTTTTACTAATAACACATGGATTTTCGTTTTCAGCCATACCAGTTTATAGTCTGTCCAAACACATTTCAGGTTCCTGGGCTGAATATCAGTCCTGGGGGTTTTAGTCAGCCGTGTGGTCCCACAGTGCTTCACAGCTGGACACATGCCCCTCTGGACAGTCACACGCTGACTGCGGGACGTACCCTGAGGCCTGCGCGCTTCTGCCCAGCGGAGGCTGCAGGGAGCCAGTGTCAGAGGGCGCTTTAAATAACCCTTGGGTCCAGGGTTCACGTCTGTGACCCTTCCATCAAGTGGCGGCTCACTCCTTGTTCTTTTACATGAAGTAAAGGTAGTAAACCCTTGTGGTCCCTCGTTCGTGTATTGAGGTGTCCGCATGGCAGGTGGCTGAGGGCGCAGACTCACTGCCGTCGCCGTGGGAGGCTCATTCCGCAGGCCCTTGGGCGGGATCCCTGGGTGCCAGGTCCACGGAGGCGGCATCTGGGGCGGTGACACCTCTACTTCTGTATGACAGATGAACGATAATATTTAAGGATAAGAGAAACAGTTCATAGGATTTTTTTTCCTTTAAGAGAAAACTTTGACTTTCAGTAGTGACTCTGACCACCAGATGGTCTAAGTGTCCTAGCCTCTTTCCCCAGTAACTGTTCGTGTTATTGTCAATAATATGATTGTTTATAGAAGTCTAGCTGCGTCAGAATGGACAGGTTGCCCTGGAGAACTCTTACGTCAATGTGTCAGTCTTCTCCTAAGGGTCACAAGGCTGATGGCCGTTTTTAAAGTGGCTCCTTGGGCCTCATCACTGGGCTTCTGACTGAAGGCACACTCAGGGCCGGCCGGCTGCTCCTCTCTCTGCTCCCTCACAGGCTGGCCAGCCCCGCTCCTCCTCTCTCTCCGTCTGTGTCCCTCACAGGCCGGCCAGCCCTCCTCCTCCTCTCTCTGTCTGTCTCCCTCACCCGCCGGCCAGCCCCCCTCCTCTCTCCGTCTGTCACCCTCACAGGCCGGCCAGCCCCCCTCCTCTCTCCGTCTGTCTCCCTCACAGGCCGGCCAGCCCCCCTCCTCTCTCCGTCTGTCTCCCTCACCCGCCGGCCAGC